ATTATCCTCTCTGCAGTCTTTATGACCTTTTGAAGAGCCTTCCACTCTGACTGTGTGGTGTCTTTATCAGACTACAGTTTGGTATGGTATACCAGCCTGATGCCAGTGGTGAGGATGCTCTCTACCAGTCCTCTAAAAGCCTGGGTGAGAGCAATGGTTCAACTCAGCTTTTCTGAGCCTCCTGATGAAGTATAGCCACTGCTGGGCAGGCACCACTGTGGCAGCTGTGTTCAGTGACCAGCTTCAGGCCCAGGAACTTGTGGCTGTCAGCAGAGGGGAGGGGTTCTTCCTGAAGTCTACTATTATTTCTTTTGTCTTGTTTATGTTGAGGATGAGGTTATTCTCCTCTCCATAAACAAGAATGTCGTTCACCAGGCTTCTGTATACTGAATTGGTATACCGAGGTCTGTCATCTTCCCAATCAGCCTACCCAGAGGAATGGTGTTGAATGCAGAGCTGTAATCCAGGAAGAGCATCCTAGCATACATACTGCTGTTGTCCAGGTGTTTCAGGGTATGGAATAAAGCCAGAGCCATCGCGTTGTCCACTGATCTGTTGGGGCGGTAGGCAAACCTCATTACATGATGGTTTTATTAATATTAATTTAAATAAATTATGCATTTTAGTAACTGCACTATATTGTACAGTATATGCTGTGTTTTTTTTTTTATTATTTTTTAGGTGCAGCATTGTATTACTTTGGAAGGATTACTGGCTTCTTGTTAATCAGTGAAAAGAGTGTTGGAATCTTCCATTCAATAACTTTAAAACTCCAACTGCTGCTACCATGCACCTGTGCACCTGTAGGAAAGTGTCCAATCCAGCTCTCTAATGCATCCACAGTGATCTACCTCACTATCGTCATTCAATGTGCACCTTCCTAGCTTTTTGTTGTTGTGAGTGACAAGTGGATTAAGGGGCTATGGCGGATGAGACTTCAGGTAGCAGGAAGTCAACCATGACAAAATTAAGCAGACCTGACAGTGGCTGCTGAGTCAGTTTCTCAGGAAAGGAAGGCAGGAGGTGTTGAGCAGATAAAGTATCATACAGCACA